GGGAAAAAGAAAAAGAAAGAGAGAAAAGAAAGGGGGGAATCCGTGGCTTCTCCCACCAGCCCAGCCAGGCTGGGTGAGGCATTTTCCTCCCGTATCAAAATGGCCACAGCTGTGCACAAGTCTATCAAATGGTGAGTGCCCCACATCTGGGGGGGTGGGGTGGCACGATTCCCCGGCAGGCACGAGGGGCAAGGATGCAAAATGGGGGGGAGGGGATGGCTGGAGTCTCCCTCCCCTCCCCTCCCTCGCGCGGCGGGGGCTCAGCCGTTCCGGCAGCTGCTCTTGGCGAGAGGGGGAGGGGCAGGTGGGGGGGGGGGGGGGCTCGGTCTGCCTGGTTGCTGGCCGTACAGATGGGCACGGGGAGGGCACTTGGGGCTGGAAGGGGTGGGAGGCATCTGAGAGAGGCTCCCGCGGGGATGGGACTGCGCGTTCGGCGGATCGGCACCAGCGTGGGCTGGGGTTCGGCGTCCTTCCCGATGTCCCGCGTGGAGGTCCGTAGCCACGCGTGTTGCATGAGGGTCAGCGGCACAGGGGTGCCCGAGGAAACAGGTGCCGGCCGGGGCTCTCCCCACCACCACCCCCAGGACGCGACGGCGAGCCGAAGCAGCAGGCGGCCCGGCTGCAGGGGTGGGGTCCGCTACTCCTCTTTCCCCCATTGTTCGGTGCGGAGTTGCTCAGCCTCCCGTGGGAGGACCTGAAGGCATCCCGCATCCCGTTCGCTCCTGGGCCGGGCCAGCAGATGGGCAGAGGCCGGTTTGATGCCGTGCCCCAGCTGGTGCCTTCGAGCCGGGACGTTGCCGGGCCAGGACCAAAGTCTCCGGAGCCCCTCTGGGAGGGGTCTCCCGGGCTGCTTTCCCAGGGGAGGGGGCTCTTCCAGGGGCAAACGGTCTGCTCCTCCTCAGCCCTTGGGTCCCGGCCCAGCCGTGGCCATCCCTCTTCCCCTTGGGGACCAGCGCTGTTTTTCCTGGACGGGGGGAGGGGGCGGGGGGTCCCATGCCGGCCGCCTCTAGGGGCGCGGGGTCCCTCCACGCTGTAGCCGGCGGTGGCTTTCTCCAGCCTCTCAGGGGAATCCCTGGAGCCGCTTTCCCGGCTCCTGGCAGCTCTGTATGAGCCGCGCTGGGCGACCGGAGCGACCGAAGCGTGCTGGCTGAGGGCCCGGTCTTCTTCTGCAGCCTGGGCGAGGATTTCTACCGAGAAGCCATCGAGCACTGCCGTAGTTATAACGCCCGCCTGTGCGCCGAGCGCAGCATGCGCCTGCCGTTCCTGGACTCGCAGACAGGGGTCGCTCAGAACAACTGCTACATCTGGATGGAGAAGACCCACCGGGGCCCAGGTGCGGACATGCCCGCTGGGCACTGTACGTAGTACTGACTCTTCCCCAGGGTCCAGAAGAGCCGAGTGTCTAGCTTGGGGGGGGGGGGGAGAGAAGCACAAACTCTGACTTCATGAGGACTAGGAGCCCATAGGTGGGCATCTCCCCTGGGGTGGGGGGGTCAGTTCTGCTTCCTGAGTCCCCCGGGCATCAGGATGGGCTGAGTTCATTGTTGGAATAAGGGCAGAGAGAAATGAAGCCTGCCTTTAAGGCACCCCCCCCATGCCAAATGCCATGCCAGGAGGGCACAGCAATCCATCTGCCCTTCAGCTTCCCCTCAGATGCATGAGGCTGCTCTGCCAACCTTCAGGTGCCGGGGAGGGAGGATTGCCCCCTACTTTCCCAGCCAAATTGAGGAAAGATTGTGGGTGATTCACCCCGCCTCTCCTGCAGGCCTGGCACCTGGTCAGATCTACACCTACCCGGCTCGCTGCTGGCGGAAGAGGCGGCGGTTGAACATCCTGGAGGACCCCCGGCTGCGGCCCTGTGAGTTCAAGATTGGTAAGGAGCTCGGGGGGCGTTGCCCTGGACAGGTGCCTGGTCCCGAGTGGCCTTTCTCTGCAGCTCCCTGGCAAATAATGGCTGCTGGGATTCCGGGGGGTGGCGGCGAAAGATGCCAGTTGCCAATAAAACAGACCCAATTTGGGAACTAAATGGGGAACTAGAAAGACCAGATCAGAACTTGGCTTTGAATCAGGGTTTATGGAAAGACACATCAAGCGCTTGCCAGGTAGGTGGGCAGATTATTTGCTTATTAAACAAACTTACTTACGGAGCTGCCCGTCCCTCAGAAGGAGCTCCGGGAAGCAAAACAAAATTAAAACAGCTGCAGTGAGGAGGCCATCGGGAACAGTTGCCTTCCTCACAACTTTCAAGGAGAAATTGCTGCCTGCGGTCTCTGGCCTCCCATTGGGCACCGGTTGAAATGACCCTCAGGGCTTGCAAAGCCCTGGACAAGCCATGGGTGGGGGGTCCAGCTTGTTGGGAGAGGGTCTGGGGGAGGGGACAGGGCAGGTCAAGCCCTTGGGGAAGAGGTGTGGGTGGGGAGGGCGAGGATGATGCCCTTGGAAGAGGGAGGGGCCAGAGCAGAGGTGGGATTCAGCAAGTTCTGACCGGTTCTGGAGAGCCGGAAGTGGACATTTTGAGTAGTTCAGAGAACCGGCCAATCCCGCCTCTGACTGGAGGTTTTACAGCCTCCGTCCCCTGCCACGCCCACCAGGCCACACCCACAGAGCCGGTAGTAAAAAAATGTGAATCCCACCTCTGGGCAGGAGCTTCTGGATGCGAAGCATCTCCCTGCCGGGCCTGCGGGGGAGGGGGCGGTAGTGCCTGAAAGCTGCAAGGAAGACCAGGGGAGGGGCTCCTCCTGCCTGACCCATCCTCTGCTCTCCCCCCAGATTGTGAGCCCCCCCTGAAGAAGGAGGCCTCTCTCCCAGAAGGCCCCGTCCTGGAGGCCCTGCTCTGCGCGGAGACGGGAGATAAGAAGCCGGAGCTGAAGGAGGAAGAGCTGACCTTAGACTGCCCGGTGAGGGCGGGGGAGGGCCTACCCCTCCCCCTCCAGGCCCTCCAGAGGAGGGAAGAATCTGGGTGGCCTCCTTGCGGTTTCCCCACCAGCCCAGCCCAGCCTCTGTCTGGGGAAGCTTCCTGGTTCCAGTGTGTGCAGGCCCTTCAGCTTAGCCTCCTCCGGGCCCGGGGGTGGGTGGGTGGGTGGGGCGGGGAGCAGCCTGTGATGCGCCCCCTCCCCTTTCTCGCAGAAGGCTCCTCTTGGCGAATTCCTGCATGATTTGGACCCGGAAGACTTGGAGGAAGACGCCCCCCGGCGGAAGAACAAGGCCAAGAGCAAGGTGAGGCCGGCCTCCCCTGGGCCCCTTTGGCCACTGACAAGGAAGTATGAAGCCCCACCTGAGCCCTCCCCGCCCCCCAGGCTTCAGCGCCAGTGAATTGCCCACGTCCAGCTCACAAAACCAACACATTTTCTTCCTGCATCTTAGGAAATGCAATCTTCACCAAGGAGCAAGTTGGAGGGAAAAGCTCGCTTGGCTTCTGACTGTTTGGGGGCAGGGTCGAAAGAGAGACCCTCGTCCACCAGTCGCAGAACCTCCAGCAACAGGGGCAGTCTAACTCCAGGCCTTCCAACCAGGAGGCAGAGGGCCTGCTTGGGGAGGGCCTCAGCTGTCCAAGGCCTTCCGCCCCGGTTGCCTTTGGGGCTCCTGGAGCCAGGGCAGCCCCCCCAGCCCCACCCCAGGCAAAGAGCCACAGAGGGGAGGAGGGGCAAGGAAGAACAGGGGCTGCTACAGGGAGACCCAGAGCCCCTTGGTCTGGCACAGACCCCGGTCAGCAGCCAGGGGGACTCTGGCATGGTGCCCGCAGTTCCAGGCTTGCGAGCTCCTGGGTTGTGAGGAGGGCTCAGTGGAAGGCAGAGAATGAGGCCCCCTCACCCACGGACCTCAAAGCAAAATCCCAGAAATAAAAGTTTAGGGTACTCAGCTGCCTCGGAAGCTGAACAGTCCAGGGAGCCTCTGGTCAAAGAGCAGGGAGGGTGACAGCACAGCTGAAGGGGGGGGCAGGGACCCCTCCCCAAATGAGAGGCCCTTGTGCAGGGAGGGTCTACAGTATGTCTCCTCTTCCCCCACAGACCCCCCATCAGAGTTCATGAGGTCTAGAAAGTTGCTTCCATTTAAGAGCCCGGGAGTCTCTCACTGCCTTTCTCCCCCCCCCCCCCCCCCAGGCCTATGGGATCGGAGGGCTGAGGAAGAGGCCGGAGGTGGCCCTGATGGAGGACCGGGACAAGCCCTACGTGTGTGACAGTGAGTGCGGTTTCCTTCTGGGAGGGCCGGGGGAGGTTTCTGGGCCGGGGGGGGGGTTGGGGGGGTCATGTGGGGCTTCTGTCGTGGGCCTCCATGTCCACCCGATGTCCCTGAGGCTGCAGGGGAAGGAAGTGGGGGCAGGGCAGGGGGGCCAGGAGAATGATGACCCCTCAGGGCCTTCTGGGGGACGGGGGCACCCTTGGCAGCCTCACCTGGGAGAGAGGAGGAGCCTGCTGTTTCCAGGAGGGCGGAGAAGCAAGGGGACTTTGGGGGTGCCACCTGGGGTGCCAGCCTCTTTGGGGTGCCTCCTCAGCAACCTTCTGGGCTTTTCAGTCTGTGGGAAACGCTACAAGAACCGCCCGGGACTCAGCTACCACTACACACATACCCACCTGGCGGAAGAGGAAGGCGAGGAGGGCCCGGAGCGGCACACCCTGCCCTTCCATCGCAAGAACAACCACAAACGTGAGTGCCCCCCCCCCCATGCCCTTTGTGCCAGAGCTGCGCCCTGCCTGGAACCCTTTGAGCTGTGTGTGTGTGTCGGGGGGGGCGGGAGTCAGCCTGGCTGGGTGCTAAGGAGAGGCCAGGATGCAGCCTCCCCAGTCGGGTTTAAAGGATGGGAGTCTCCCAGGGAGCCCCCCCCCCCGGGACAGCAGCACAACTCTTGGGGAAGGGGCCACAATTTGCAGTCCCTGCCTTGCATGGGGACGTTCTCAGCCCCAGGTCCTGCCAGCCGCCCTGGAAAGCCCCCGGCCCAATCTCCATCCCTGCTGCCCTTCTCTCCTTGCCTTGAAGGGGGCAGAGGCACACAGACCCCCCCGGTGGGGGAAACACCCTGGACGCCACCTCACCCCCCAAGAAAAGCATCCTCCGCCCAGTGGAGCTGCAAGTGTTGTCTTTTGTGGAGGTGCAGCGACTGGAGAGGCTCTGGGTTCCCAAAGTTGGCACATTCCAGACAGGCAGACACCTCACCCTCCCCGAAATCCCCCCCCTGCTCATCCGCCACTGAAGGAGGGGTCTGCTCTGAGCATCTCCCACCCTGATGCAGTTGCCATGGAAACACGGTGGGCGAACTTGGCAGGTGGAAGATTTCCAGCTTGGGTTTATCCAAGAGAGGGGGGGCAGCTGGGGGGGGGATACCGAGGCTAGTTGGGGAAAGGGAGCTGGAAAGGCAAGGGGGTGGGGGGAGCATTCATGCTGGCACATATAGGCCCGTGGAAGCCTCTGCCTCCCCAGGAAAGCTTGAGGGCTGAGTGTGCAAAGAGATGTCTGCACAGCTTCAGAACAGAGCTCAGGTTTCTCGGCCTGACTCTCTCTCTCTCTCTCTGTGCGCGCGTGTGTGTGTGTGTGTGTGTGTGTGTGTGTGTGTGTGTTGCGCGTGTGTGGATGAGTTTTCAGGGAAGGGAGGGGCCGGCAAGAGGAAGGGCTCTTCCTCTAAGAAGGCTGAAGAAATTGGAGCCCCGCTTCTTTTGGGGAGGAGGGGGTCGGCCAAAGCCTCTGCAGGCGGGCTCGCCGGATGAAGCCCTCTCCGAACCCCTTCCCCAGGCCTGAGGAGAGTTGGGGGGGAGGGAAAGAGGCCTCCCCCTCCCTAACAAAGGCATCCCCTCCCCGTCTTGGTGGTTACCATGGAGATACCAGCGCCGTCGCTGGAGCAAAGCCTGCACAAAGCAGCCGGGAGGTTGAGGGGAGGGGCTGTTTGGAGCCGCCGTCCCTGGAGAAAAGGGGCCGGGGGCCTGCTGGGTGACCCCCGCCCGCCTCGGCCGAGACCTGCCTGTCTCTCTCCCAGCGCCGGTCGCGGACTCGCTCGCTCGCATCGCCTGGGTTGCTTTTCGGCCGAAAGCTGCCCCCCGCCCCTCTTGTGCTCGCCCACCGCCCCGCCCCGCCGCGCCCCAGGGCGCCCCCGTTCTTCTTCTTCCCTTCGGGAGATGCGCTTCCCTGCTCGCTCATCTGCTCGTCCAGACAGGCCAGAGGTCCGCGGTTGGTTCCCCGATTCAACTCAAATATATTCCTTTATTTTTTCTCTCCTGTGCTTATTTCCATCTTCTCCTTTTCTCCTTGCCATTTCCGGCTCTCTCTAGAGTTTTACAAAGAACTGAACTGGGTCCCAGAGAACCAGCGCAGGCACACAGGTAAATCCCACGGCAGCGCCGAGAGAGGCTGGAGGCTTGGGGCCGTGGGGTCTGCCTGGGACCCCCGTGCGGCCTCCCTCCCCTCCCCTTCAGGGGCTCCTCCAGAGGTGCGGGGAGGGTGAGAGGAGGCGAGCCCTTCCCCGTCTGTCCTGCGGCCAATCAGCCTCCCACGTGCTCCGGGATCCTCCTCCGTAAAGCGGCAGGGAAGAGCCCCCGAGGGCAGCAGCTTCTCAGCCGCGCAGGCGGCGTCCGTGAGGCAGCTGCGCGATTGCCCTCTTTTGCCCTGCGCGCACCGAGCAGGGCAGCTCCCGGTGGCAGCCTGAGCTGGGCATAGAGGGGTGCCGGCCTGCTCCCTTTGGGTCTCTGTAGGGCGCAGCCAGGCGCTTGCTACGCGCCCAGGGGAGGCGAGGGGCGCAGGAGGCCGAAGCCGTTTGGCAGTGAGCGAGCGAGCGAGCGAGCGCGCGCGTGGCCGGCTGGATGTGGCAGCCCCTCTCCGTGGGGGCGTGCGGGCCCGCCCCTGATGTCGACCTCTCCTTGCTGTTTTGCAGCTAAGAAAGCTCCGGACGGGACAGTCATACCAAATGGTTATTGTGATTTCTGTCTAGGCGGCTCCAAGAAGACCGGCTGCCCCGAGGACTTAATCTCCTGCGCTGATTGCGGACGCTCAGGTGAGCCTCGGGCCCAAAGGCCCCTGCGCGCAGGATGCGGCCGCGGAGTTAGGCGTCTCCGGGGACCCAGCAGCCCAAAACTTTGCTCCCGTGGTTTGGAGGGAGCGGGTAGGTTGGCTCCACACCAGGCAAGGAAGCGGGGCTGCTAAAGCCCTGCAAGGCCTGGCGTCTTCCTGGCTCAGCATGGGGAGTATGCCCCACCCTTTTATGGGGTACGTGGCAGGATGGGTCTCTTCTGAACCCCGCCAATGACCAAGGGGAGCCGGTTGTGTGGATGCCCAGTGGCAGGACTCACCTGTGTGGCTCAGAGGCACCACCTGGACGCATGGGGAGGAGCACCCCGGTCCATGCAGGATGCCCACAGGCCCTCTGTTGGTGAGGGGTGGAGAAAGGCGCAGGGTCTGGGCTGGAGCGTTGGCCCTTGGGTGCCCTCTGTGCGAGGCCGGTGGTCCCCCTCCTCCCACAAAGCTCTTCCAGAAGCCCCTGCTGGACAGCTGGCCCTTGGAGGCCATTCCGGGGGGAGGGGGGGAGCCCAGCCTTGCAGGTCGAGCCACTGCCCATCTCAGGGGCTGCTGGTTCTTTCCCCCCCCCCAGGGCACCCGTCGTGCCTGCAGTTCACGGTGAACATGACGGCCGCTGTGCGGACCTATCGCTGGCAGTGCATCGAGTGCAAAAGCTGCAGCCTCTGTGGCACTTCAGAAAATGACGTACGTCAGCTGCTGCTGCGGCTTCTCAGAAGGGTTGCCCGGAGCTGCCTGCCATGGCCCCTTCCATGCCTCTTTCCTCGGCTGGCGGCAGGCTCGGTCATGGCAGCCGTGGGGGGTGGTGGCTTCCCCCGCCCCTTGGAGCAGGGTCCCAGATGCGCCTCTCAGTGGCGGCCCCTTCCTCCCCACCAGGACCAGTTACTCTTCTGCGATGACTGTGACCGTGGCTACCATATGTACTGCCTGAGCCCACCGATGGCCGAACCCCCTGAAGGTAAGGGACAGGCAGCGGGGCGGGGCTCCCTCTGGTGAGGCCTGGCTGTGACCTCCGGCTGCCTTGGCTTGCAGGGAGCTGGAGCTGCCACCTGTGCCTGCGGCAGCTGAAAGAGAAGGCCTCTGCCTACATCACCCTGACCTAGGCTGCAGCCTCGCCCCCCCGCCAGCCTCAAGCCCCCCCCCCGGAGGGGGGCTGGAATTGTACTGCAGGCCATGCCCAGGAGCGGTGCCGGGCCCCCACCCAGGATTAAGAGGAGCATCGAGGTCTGGCACCCAGAATTTGGGCGGGGCCCCTGCAGCGGGGATTGACATTTGCTGCCTCCTGGCCCCCACCTAGGCCACCCCAGTGGGGCCAGTCCACACAAAGCCATACGCCGGGGTGGGGGCAGAGACCAGCCCCTCTGCCCTGGAGGGAGGGGGGTAAGCTCCATCCTCCAGACTGATGCATGTTAAATTGTTTGCCTTTGCTTGCAAGTCCAGAGGCTGCCTGGGAGGGAGGGGGGGCGTCCTGGCTATGGACCCCCTTCCTGCCCATGGGAGCAACTTGCAAGGCCTTTGAAGAGAGTTGGGACCAGCTGGCGGGACTGTGGTTGGGCTGGGGGAGGGGGAGCCAAGAGCAACGGGGGTGGGTGGGGGGGGTGGCAACCACTAAGCTGTTGCAAGGCTGAGGGGGGGCACTTATGATTTTAAAGGAGGGGGGAGAAGAAAGTTTTAAAAGGGCAGCCTTGAAGTAGGGTGGGTGGGCTACTCCAGGGAGCAGTGCCTGGGAGCAGTCGGAGGCCTGCGGGGGCTCTGCCCTGCCAACCTCTTGTGTAGCTGTGTTGTTCCATTGCCTGCAACTTTTGTGTGCTTGGATTGTTATGTACATTAAATGTGGTCAGAATCGCGGCCTACGCCTCTCTCTGCCCCACCCGCAACACTGGGAGGGCAAATACTGGGTGGGGGGTGGCTATTGGAAGAATGGTAGCCCCTCCCCGGCCTCGGTCGGGGTCCCCCAGTCGCCCTGACCATGGGCCACCCTAGCATTGAGCCCCTCTGGGAGCGGCTGGCCATCCCTCCCAACCAGAGCTTTGACACACACAACACACACAACACACACACAACCCCCCCCCCACCCCAAAAAGGAAGGCTGAGATTTCCAGAGTACTAGAGAATTTATTTTACAAAAACTGATGGTTCTCTCCATCAGCAGCTTTAAGACAGAGCAGAATTAAATAATACAGATTTGATCTGCAAAGAACCTTATAAAATTAAAAACGAACACGTAATACAACCGATAGACATGAGAGCTGCAGGAGAGCATCGGGCCGACCGTCCCAGGCCAGACACCAGGTGGGGGGGGGGATCCTTAGGATGCAAATTCCAGTGAGGTCCCACTACAAAAATTTTTAAAAAACAAACTAGAAAGGTTGCTGGGGTGGTGAGCCCAGGAGAAAGGGTGGGGGGGCTGGCACGGATCTCCCCATGACCCCACCCAGAGATGGGCTTCCCCGCACTGGGGGGCCAAGGGGGGACAGGAGCCCTCTGCCCACCTGTGGCATTAAGGCGAGAGTGGAAGGTGGGGAGGGAGGCCGCAGCCTGTTCCCTGAAACCCTGGCAGGTGGAAGGGGGGGGGGGTCAGGCTGACCCCTGGCAGGTCTGGACCAGAGTGGGCTTCGCATAGATTGTATGCTGGTTTTGCCACGTGAAGCATGTGCGGTCCAGGCCTCACCCGAGCAGGACACCCCCTTCGGGGGCCTGAGCATAGTGGAGACAACGACGCACCCGGCCCAGCCCAGCACAGGACTGGCACAAGGGCCAGGAGGGGCATCAGAGAGCCCTTGCGCTCCAGAGCAGGCACCCAGGAGGGCCCGGGGGGGGGTCCTTCCCCTGGGCCTCTATGGCTTTGTGCCAGCAGAGGGTCCCGGCCCTGCTGCCCATGGAGAGGGACCAAGGGTGCTGGATTCAGTCACATGCACAGAAATGCAACTGAAAAAGATTACAAACAGTACCATTGATACAAATATAGTGTTTTATAAAGAATGTAGACATTTAAACCTTTTCTTTAACCTTCCTGAGGCGCTCTGCGTTCCCTAGAAAATAATTTAGTTGTGAGAAAGTGCTCTGAGAAACTTGGCTGCCCTCTGGACACAGACCGGCCCTTGGGGGGGCTGGAGGGCCCCTCCTGTGTCGAGAGAGACCCTCCCTCCGGCCGAGGCCAGCGGGGGGCCGGGGGGGGGCGCAGGCGGCAAACTCTCCAAGGGGGCCCCAGGCAGGCGCTCACAGGTCCTCTTTGTCGAGGGCGCTGGAGAAGATGTGGGCGAACTTGCGCAGCTGCTCGTTGGCGCTCTGGGACTCCTCCTGCAGCCGCTGGTTGCTCTGCCGGAGCGTGGCCACTTCTGCCTGCAGCACCACCTTGTCCTGCTTCTCCTGCGGGGGCCGAGAAGGAGCGGGAGTCCCAGGCGGCCTCCCCAGCCTCCCCCCTCCCCCAGGCGGCCCCCCCAGCCTCCCCCCTCCCCCAGGCGGCCCCCCCAGCTCCTCACCTTCTGCAGGTCGCTGTGCAGCTGCTTCAACATGGCTTCCAGGTGGGAGACCTTGCCGCTCAGGTCCGCCGGCTGCTGGCTGCAAGGGCAGGCCGGAGAGGCTGTGACGCCAAGCCCGTCCGGGGCTCCTGCCAGGCCCCCCAGCCCTGGGGGGGGGGGGCTGAAACCCCAGGGAGGTGGGAGGAGGCTCGTCTGCAAGATGGGGTTCCAGCCCCACGCAGACTGACAGACTGACGGGCAGACCCTCGGGGGGTGGGGGCGGGGAGTCCCCTTCCTTGAGGAACTTTTCCCAAAAGATACCCCCGCCCCCCCCTCCCGCCCCCTACTCACCTTAAGACCGGAGCCGTGGGTGGCGCTGGCTGCCTCTCCAAGCTCAGGTGCCCAAGGCCGGGGCTGCCAGCCGGGGCCGCCTCGGGGCTCAACATGGCCTCATGGAGGGAGAAGAGGGAGACGGCTCTCTGCACTGGGGTGGGGGGGTGGGGGGGGGAGAGGGAAAACCTGTAGGCTGTCAGGCAAAAGCCCCCGCGGCCCCTGTGGCCCAAGTGCCACGCCAGTCTGGTGGCCGGTGGAAGAGGAGCCCCCACGCCCTGGAAGACCCTCTCTGGGGCAAGGGAAACCACCTGGAAGGCCACAGGGCATCCCCACTGGTGGTGGGAAGGGAAGGGGAGCCCTGTTTGGAGAGTCCATGGTGAAGGCGGCCCACCCCGCATCCCGGCAGGCCTCCTTGCTGATGGCTCCCATGGGCCCCAGGAGACTGCGACCCTGAGCTCAGAGAAGTAAGCCCAGCTGCCTCGCCCCTTGCCAGCTAGTCTGCCTTGCTAGGGAAAGCAGGCCCCGGCCAACGTCCCCAATTTGCCCAGAACGGAGGCCCAGCCGGCACGAAACCCGTGGGGGGAAAGCCCTGCTGGGAACCCCACCGTCCACCCTGGCACAGTGGCCAGTCTTGCCCCCTCTTCCTCCATCACCTACCTTTCGGCTGCCGGTAGTTGACTGGGCAGGAAGAGGAGGAAGCTCCTGAGCCCCCGTCTCTCCGCCATGACTTGGGGAGGCAGCCCCTCCCCTTTCCCAGCAAGCCCTTTCCCAGAAAGGCGGTGCCAGCCAAAGGCAGCTGCCAGAGAGGGAGGCGCCCGCCTGGGCCCAGGAAGAAGCGGAGCCGACCTGCAGGCTGCCCCGCACTTCCCTGCAGAAGAGGCGGGCAGGCGGGCAGGCACAAAAGCTGTGTCACTGCTGACAAGCAACGAGGCCCCAGCTCTGCCCTGCTGAAGTTGGGGGCAGCCAAGCGTCGGGTGGGCAAAGCGCTTTGTGGGGACCAGTTTCCCATCGCTCCGCCCGAAGGCTTTGCGAGGGCCTCCCCCCCGCCCCCCGGAATTTGAGGCTCCTCAGAGGCGGAGCTAGAGACCCCTGCGCCCCTTCCCGGACGGCTGCGTTGCACGCCTGGGCAGGGGAGGAAGGAGGCGGGAGCATCCCCTTACCTTCGTAGGCCTTCGCAGCACTGACCAAGCTTGACCACTCCAGGCCCGCGGCTGTGTCCGGCAGGGGCATCAGGGCAGGGTCAAGGCGCCGCAGGGGCTGGTCGCACACCTCGGTCAGGGAGAGCTCAGAGGCCGAGACGGTGGCTACAGAGGGAGGGAGAGGAGGCCGCGTCCCCCAGAGCCATCAGCCGAGCTGGGCAGGCGGCCCTGCCGGGGGAGGGGAAGATCCCCGAGGAGGCTGGGGCAAAGACGGGCTGCCCCCCTGCCCTGGCCCTGGCGGGGAGGACAGGGTCCCCATCGCCTGCCTGCCTGCCTGCCTGCCTGCGACCGACCCTGGGGACCCCCAGGCTCACCCTTCTCCAAGGAGCCCCCCCGGCCGCTGCTGGCCGGCCTCCGCCCAGGGAGGGTGCTGGTGAAGAGCATGTCGCTGGAAAGGGGCTGCTCAAAGCAGGCGCTGCTGGCAAAGGTGGGCTCTCGCCGGCCGCTGCACAGGCTTTCATCCGAGAGGGTCCGCTGGAGGGTCTTCTGGGGGGCCTGCGGGGAGAGCAGAGACCCTCTTCACAGACCCAGCCAGCCCGCAGCTCCCCAAGAGCCGAGCGGGATCCCCGGGAGGCCTCCAAGTGGGCGTCTCCTCTAGTGCCCAAAGGCTGCCAAGGCTGGGACCCCACGGAGGGACCCTCCCCTCCCCACCGGCTCACTCGGGCCCCAGAGCTCTGGTGGGGAACAGCCGGAGCCCTTTCCGCCCCTTCCATGGGGAGGAGGGCGGGGGGGGGACACGCACCAGCTGGTCCTCCTGCTCCAGCCCGGTGGGGTCCATGATGATCAGCTTCTTCAGGTCATCCTCAATGGTGGACTTGTGGGCCTTGCGTGGGGAGCGAAGGTCCCGCAGAGAAGCCCGCAGGCGAGGCTGCCCAAAGACATTCCTGGTGCTCACGTCAATTCCTCTGTGGGCAGAGGGGGGCTGTCAATCCCCCTCCTCAGTCTCCATCAGCCTTCACAACCCCCCCCCCCCCCCGACAAAGCAGCTGGCTAGGGCACCACCCAAAGCAAGGCTCGCTGCTGCCGTCTGCCAGCGCTCACTTCTGGGGCTCCTCGGGGCTCTTCTTCCACCCGGCCGGTTGGGGCCTGGCACTCCGGCCGCTCTGCTTGGAGGAGGCGGCGGCCTTGGACACAGAAGCGGAGAGCTGGGAGGAGCCCGCCTGGGGTCCGGGAGCCACCCGGGAGCCACCTGCAGGGGGCGTCTTGTAGACCTGGATGGGGTAGGTCCCCCTGGAGCCACCGGGGCTAAAAGAGAGACAGACAGTCTGCAGGTGGCTGGGCCCCAGCCGGCCATGCAGGGGCCACTGCCTCAGCAGCGCCTGGGCCATCCTCCTCACCCCCCCACTCCCGCTTGACCCTGGACACAAGGCAACTGCCTCTCTTTGGGGTGGGGAGGGAAGAGCCCACCCCACCCATCCTGGAACAATGGCAGGCCTGGCCCCGGGGCCCTCGCCCCCTCTCTGAAAACCAGGTCTCCTCTTGCAACACCCGCAGAGCCCCCCTCCCCCGGGGCCCAACAGGCCTGCACACCCACCACCCGTTCAAGGTCCGGGTTCTGTGGGGGGGGGGGGGCAGCTGCAGGATCCCTTACCTGGCCTGCCTGAAGGGCTCTGGGGCAATGCAGTTGCCCGCCCGGGCGGGGCCGCCCGTTCCTTTCCCGAAGGCCCTGGGGCAGTAATTCCAGCTCTGCCTGCCCAAATGGCCAGCGGGCCAGGCTGCCTCCGCCCTCTTGCTATGGCCTTCGGGGAGGGCAGGGCCAAAGAGGGGCGAGGACACAGGCACTCGGTTGCGCCGGATGGACGTGGCACCGCTGGCATCGATAGTGCTGTTGCTGGAGACCCCGCCCTTGGCCCAGAGCTCGGGCATGCTGTCGCCGGGGTCGGCTGGGTCATCACTGTGAGCACTGGAGGCGTTGCTGGAGAGCGTGTTGCTGCTGGACGTCTGCCCCTCGCCCTGCGGGGGGAGGGGGAGTCAGCCACCCAGCACGGGGGGAGGTACCCAGCAGGCAACCCCCAGGAGCCCAGGCTCACCTTGAGGGGCTGGTCTGGGGAGTCCTTGCCAGGCAGCTCCGCCTGGCCAGACCGCTTGTTCCCGGAAGCTGCGGAGAACCTGGAGGGCCCCGGCACGTGCCATAGCAGCTCTGGTGGGGCAAGGAGAAGGTCAGTGGGAGGCAATTCCTCCCCTGCCTTCCCAGAGCCCCGCCCCTTGGCTGGAGGGCTGGCCTGTGCCGTGGCTGCCCCCATCCTGGGTGAGGCTTCTGTCACCCACTGCCAGGCTGTAGGAGACAGCAACAGCAGCCGGCCCTTCTCAGAAGCCCCCGGGGCTGCCCTCGGCACAGGCTGCCTGCTGGCCCCAGGCTGGGAAGGACATCGGTGCCCAGGGGGGCCTGGCTGGGCTTCCCCTCCCTGAGGACTGGCCGCTTCAGCACAGAGGCCACTTCCGAAACCTCAGCCCAGGCACACACACACACACACACACACACACACACACACACACACCCCGTGCCCACCGGCCGTGCTCACCCAGCTTGGGCCTCTCCATGCTGCCCTCCTGGCTGGCCAGCCCTTCTCTGCCAGACGAAGAGCCTCCGTTTGGGGTCACCTCGGGGGGGGCAGGGCGGCTCAAAAGGCCCCAGAGGCCGCAAGGGGACCACATACCTGTGCACAGAGCTGAAGCAAAGCAGGGCAGCTGAGAAGGGCACCAACCCAGCGGAAAAAGCACCAGCTGGCCCGCCTGTTAGCAACTACCAGGCCCAGAGGAGGGGAGGGCCAGGAGCGGAAGAAAGGAGCAGCTCCTCCTGCGCTCGGCTCCAGGGGCGGGCAAGGGAGGGGCATCTGGAAGGGGTGGATGGCCAGGCCGAAGGGCCAAGCCAGGCTCTCGGCTGGTGCGCTGGAGAGCCACCGGCGGCAGCCTAGAGCCCTCGGGCGTGTCCAGAAGGCCTCACAAGGGCCCTCCCTGGCACCCAGACGGACCAGGACAGCTGCCTTGCGCCACTCCACCATGCCTTTGGCCCGGCCTCCGCTGGTCATTTCCCCATGGCAGGCAGAGAGGGAGGCCCCCTCCCTCCCTCCTGTGAACAGCCTCTCCCGAGGGAGATTCGTGCAGGGTCAACGTTTGGAGCCAACAGATCCGTTGGCAGCCCAGAGAGGGTCCCTTCCCCCTCCGAGCCCCTCTGCCTGCTACCTCCCCAGAGCAAACGGCTCCCACCCAAACAGCCGAGGGGACAAGGCTTCCCCAGCACCGGAAGGGCTTCAGCGCTCTGCATTTCTCGGTTTGCCCCTCTCCCTGGTGTGCGTGCAAGGCCTGGCCCAGCGCAGCCTCTGGCCGCTCCTTCAAAGCCAAGCCAAGGCCCCCCCCCCCCCCCCC